CCCCCCTGCGCTCCTGCCTCTGATCCAGAGCGGCAGGGGGACTCCTCGGGAGCGGGGCTGGCAGGCACTGGCTGCCGGCCCCACGCCTGGCGACTATCAAATAGTCGTGGAGTCGCTTAGATGTCATGTGCTTACACGCCTGTTCAATGACACGCTATCTAACGTCCCCAGTTAAAAGTATAGCCGGGTTCGGAAAAGAACGAGGTAAGTTCTTGGAGGCTAGGTCCTTCCACGGCTATTAGCCACAATGGTCAGAGACAGGGTGTCCAGATGCCTCTGACTGCCAGAAGCCAGGAGGGGAAGGGGATGGGATCACTTGTTCTGCCATTCCCTCCGGATCGTCTGGCACCAGCCGCTGTCAGAAGACAGGACCCTACTCGATGGACCATGGATTGACCCGGTGGCCATTCTTATGTTCCCCTGGAGGGACAATTCCACCAGCCCATAAGTCTCCCTGCTGAGGATGGATGCTGAGAGTCAGCCTACATTCCCTGCTTATTAATTCTAGCCCATCCTTCCTAATCCCTCTCCCTCGTCTGCGCATCCTCGTTGCTAATCCCTCCCTGCCCTGGGCTTCGTCCCCTTCGGATAGTTGAGGACTTGTATGTAGTGTGCAGGGAGCAGGGCAGGAGCACTAGATATGGGGAGCTCTTTGGGTATGTCTACACTTCCACCCTAGTTCGAACTAGGGTGGTAGTGTAGACATACCCTTTGTTATACTCGTCCTGCCCCCTCCCCGCAGGGGGCGCTGTAAAGAGCAGCCCAGGAGACCCGGGGGTGTGGCAGGTTCCAGCTGCTGCAGCCCTGCCCTCTTCCCACAGGGGGCGCTGTAGCGCAGCCCAGGAGACCCGGGGGTGTGGCAGGTTCCAGCTGCTGCAGCCCTGCCCTCTTCCCACAGGGGGCGCTGTAGCGCAGCCCAGGAGACCCGGGGGTGTGGCAGGTTCCAGCTGCTGCAGCCCTGCCCTCTTCCCACAGGGGGCGCTGTAGCGCAGCCCAGGAGACCCGGGGGTGTGGCAGGTTCCAGCTGCTGCAGCCCTGCCCTCTTCCCACAGGGGGCGCTGTAGCGCAGCCCAGGAGACCCGGGGGTGTGGCAGGTTCCAGCTGCTGCAGCCCTGCCCTCTTCCCACAGGGGGCGCTGTAGCGCAGCCCAGGAGACCCGGGGGTGTGGCAGGTTCCAGCTGCTGCAGCCCTGCCTAGGGCACAGGGCAGGAGCACTAGCTATCTGGGAGCTCCCAGCTGCTCCCGTCCGGGGCCTGCCCATCGATACGGGGCGAGCCCCTTCTCTCGCGCGCTGATATTAGCCTCTCTTTGTCCCAGGTCGCTATAGCCCCGAGAAGGCGGGGAAGTGGGCCTACCACTCCGCGCCCAACTACTCACTCGCCTCCCGCACGAAGGAGTTTGCGAATGACCAGACTCCAGGTAGGAGAGCCCACGGAGAGCAGAGCTGGGCCGGCGGGGGATGCTTGCGAGGGACTTTTCAAGTGACGAGGGCCCAGGGAATGGGGTCTCAGAGCAGGGGGCCATGCCGGGCTGTGGCTAGAGACTGGGCCCGGCAGCCAGAGGGGTCTTTGTGGATTGGGAGGAGCATGCAGGGATCAGTGTGGGGAGGGGGCCATGCAGGGGTCTGTGTGGGTTGGGAGAGGGGCATGCAGGGGGTCTGTGTGGGGAGGGGACATGCAGGGATCAGTGTGGGGAGAGGGCCATGCAGGGGTCTGTGTGGGTTGGGAGAGGGGCATGCAGGGATCTATGTGGGGAGGGGGCCATGCAGGGGTCTGTGTGGGTTGGGAGAGGGGCATGCAGGGGGTCTGTGTGGGGAGGGGACATGCAGGGATCAGTGTGGGGAGAGGGCCATGCAGGGGTCTGTGTGGGTTGGGAGAGGGGCATGCAGGGATCTATGTGGGGAGGGGGCCATGCAGGGGTCTGTGTGGGTTGGGAGAGGGGCATGCAGGGGGTCTGTGTGGGGAGGGGACATGCAGGGATCAGTGTGGGGAGAGGGCCATGCAGGGGTCTGTGTGGGTTGGGAGAGGGGCATGCAGGGATCTATGTGGGGAGGGGGCCATGCAGGGGTCTGTGTGGGTTGGGAGAGGGGCATGCAGGGGGTCTGTGTGGGGAGGGGACATGCAGGGATCAGTGTGGGGAGAGGGCCATGCAGGGGTCTGTGTGGGTTGGGAGAGGGGCATGCAGGGATCTATGTGGGGAGGGGGCCATGCAGGGGTCTGTGTGGGTTGGGAGAGGGGCATGCAGGGGGTCTGTGTGGGGAGGGGACATGCAGGGATCAGTGTGGGGAGAGGGCCATGCAGGGGTCTGTGTGGGTTGGGAGAGGGGCATGCAGGGATCTATGTGGGGAGGGGGCCATGCAGGGGTCTGTGTGGGTTGGGAGAGGGGCATGCAGGGGGTCTGTGTGGGGAGGGGACATGCAGGGATCAGTGTGGGGAGAGGGCCATGCAGGGGTCTGTGTGGGTTGGGAGAGGGGCATGCAGGGATCTATGTGGGGAGGGGGCCATGCAGGGGTCTGTGTGGGTTGGGAGAGGGGCATGCAGGGGGTCTGTGTGGGGAGGGGACATGCAGGGATCAGTGTGGGGAGAGGGCCATGCAGGGGTCTGTGTGGGTTGGGAGAGGGGCATGCAGGGATCTATGTGGGGAGGGGGCCATGCAGGGGTCTGTGTGGGTTGGGAGAGGGGCATGCAGGGGGTCTGTGTGGGGAGGGGACATGCAGGGATCAGTGTGGGGAGAGGGCCATGCAGGGGTCTGTGTGGGTTGGGAGAGGGGCATGCAGGGATCTATGTGGGGAGGGGGCCATGCAGGGGTCTGTGTGGGTTGGGAGAGGGGCATGCAGGGGGTCTGTGTGGGGAGGGGACATGCAGGGATCAGTGTGGGGAGAGGGCCATGCAGGGGTCTGTGTGGGTTGGGAGAGGGGCATGCAGGGATCTATGTGGGGAGGGGGCCATGCAGGGGTCTGTGTGGGTTGGGAGAGGGGCATGCAGGGGGTCTGTGTGGGGAGGGGACATGCAGGGATCAGCCCTTGCATAGGACTTCTCTCCCATTCGGGCCTACGCCTTCTGCTTCGTCCGCTCTTAGTCAATCCCCATCTGTTCTGCTTAAAATCTCTTTATCTGGGAGTGATTCTTGACTCTGACATCAGGATGTTGGTGTCTCCTCAGCGTTATTTCAAGGCTGTCTTGTTTGTAACAGAGCGCTTGCTTCTTAACACGCCCAGGCCGTCCACGTGTCTTGTGTCGCTCTGCTTTGTATTGGGCCCCATTCATGGTACCTTGACGCCTCTGAGACTTCCAGCCCACTGTGCTCTTCCACCGTCTGGACTCTGAAACTGTTGGGCCCACACGGTGTTACCGCTCCAAACACGCACATTCCACTCACTCCCCCTCGACACAATCGCTCCACACGTGGGAAAAAGGACACAAATTGGCCATACAAAAGGGATCGATCTAATTCTTAACACAAAGCTTCGATTAGTACAAACTTTTAATTCATTCGTTACGTTTTCTTTATAACCCAGTCTATATTCTACCTACTCCTAAGAGCAACCGTGGGATCATGCTGAAGCGCCGATCTCCTTCTGTCTTGACATCAGATCTAGACACAAGGGCTGTGTCTAGACTGGCAAGTTTTGCCACAAAAGCAGCTGCTTTTGCGGAAAAACTTGCCAGTTGACTGGCCGCTTGAATTTCCGGAAAAGCACTGACGATCTCCTGTAAAATCATCAGTGCTTTTCCGGAAATACTATGCTGCTCCTGTTTGGGCAAAAGTCTTTTTCCGAAAGACTTTTGCGCAAAAGGGCCAGTGTAGACAGCTGAGATTTGTTTTCCGCAAAAAAGCCCCGATTACGAAAATAGCGATCGGGGCTTTTTTTGCGGAAAACCGCGTCTCGATTGGCCACGGATG